AGCAACGCTAATTGGAGTGCCTGTCATGAGTAAATTATTAGGAATGAAGGACGTTTTCATTATAGTGGTTGGAGCGATAGCGCACGCATCTGGGAGAATAGTATTTGTTTTAGCGAACCGGCCGGAATTATTTTACGTAGGTAAGTAACAGATCTTATATCTTTCTCGATTATGTATTGAAAAAAATTGTGAATATTATACAGTGCCATTATTATTCAAACTCTTTTAAATGAAGATATTACACGCATACATTTTTGAATTATAAAGTAATCAAACGTTTTGTTTTATATATTTTATAATAATTATTTTGCAGGTGCCGTTGTCGCTGCGTTAGGTCCAGTAGTAGCTCCGGTACTTAGGTCTATGACCTCGAAACTTGTGCCTGTGGAGGAGCGAGGTGCATAAAATAACCATTACATCTATATTTTTACACATAGATTGAAACCGGTTTAATTCCGATAGATCAGTGGAGATATAATTTCAACCTACTGATGCCATATTGACATGGAAGATATACTTTACATACAGAATTTGAATAAGGGATATATCATATGTCAAAATTAGATCTCTCATCTAATACCGGTCTCAATTTTTTGTGCCACACTGATTTTTTTTCTTTTTTGTGACAAAAAGATAATTTTTGTTCTTCAGGAAAGGTATTCGCGATGCTTGCCGTATGCGATAACGCAGTCCCGTTATTTAGCGGGACTTTATATTCCCAGATTTATAACGCCACAATAAAAACAGCACCGAACTCTTTTTATTGGCTGACAGTCGCCACGCAGATCACCGTGCTTCTGCTAATTTTGTAAGTGATTTGCAATTTTCTTAGATGATATTTTTTCGTACATCAATTTTTCTATCTCGATTAAAAATGTATTAGAAAATTCTTGATACTTTACTTAATTCGAGTAATCTAATTTTAAGAGGATCCTAAATCCTAGATCAAACTCCAAAAATCCGCTGTTTTACCGACAATTTGTGAGTATGTATGCGTGCAATATTGATGTAGTAGTGTGTAGTGATGTGTCATGTTTATTACCACATCAATATATCTCACGCATACATATACACGAATTTGA